GGGGCAGCTGGTCGAGCCCCACCCACACCCGGAGCAGACCGGCTCCGGGTTGGAACGTGACCCTGTGATGCAGTAACCACGGCAGCTCATGGCCCTCAGGCCCACCGCCTCTGCCAGAGGGCGCCACACAGCAGTCTGCCGGCCCCCAGTGCAAGGAGAGGAGAGAGGCCTGGCAGGATGGGAGCGGCCCGGCCGCGAACAGGGCGGACCAGACAGCGGGCAGAGGAGGGGTCAGCCTACATGTTGAGCGCCCGCCTTGTCATCCCCCAGTAAGGGATGCTGTTACCTTAGACTTAGATCAGGGAGCCTAGACCCAGAGCGGGTAGGTAACTTGCTCAAAGCCGCGCGGGACAGCAGGTGTGTGGCCAGCATCCGGAGCCCACCCTGCCTGCTCCCTTGACCTTGGAGACTCCCTGCCAGCCCAGCACTGAGGCCGGGCCTTGCTTCCCAGGCCAAGGAGCCCAAGGCCGTCATGAAGATCGAGCATCTGAACGCCACCTTCCAGCCGGCCAAGATCGGTCACCCGCATGGCCTGCAGGTCACCTACCTGAAAGACAACAGTACTCGAAACATCTTCGTCTACCACGAGGATGGCAAGGTGGGTGCACGGCTGGGTGGTGGCGGCTGGACCACCCCCACTGTCTCAGGAGAACACAGCGGACCCCCAGGGTGGCAGGCACGGGGCCAGGGGCCCGCCAGACCACCCTGCCATGGCTGCAGTGGGGAGCCAGCCGGGCCCTTGGGGAGGGAGCCCAGAGGCCTCGTGAAGAGACGAGGGTGGCAGCTGGCTGGCAGAGTGCCACACCCCACCCCGTGGCCATCACCTCTGTGTCGCCACCCAGGGAGGGTGGGAGATAGCCCAAGCAAACCCCTCCAAGTCTGTCCTTAGGCGTTCTCTCTATATTCGGGATGTTAATCCCCTATCAGGTGATTTGCAAATATTCTCTGCCATTCTGTGGATTGCCCGTTACTTGGTGAACGGTCTTTTGATGCACAAAATTTTTAAATTTTCATTCAGTTGAATTCGTCTGTTTTTCTTTGGTTGCATGTGTCTTTTGGTGTCACATCCAAGAAATCATTGCCAAGTCCAATGTTGTGAAGTTTTTGCCCCATGTTTTCTTGTAAGAGCTTTATTGTTTTAGGACTTACATTTAGGTCCTTGATTCATTTTGAGTTAATTGGGTCAGGGTCCAGCTTCGTTGTTTTTTGTTTGTTTTTTAAATTTTATTTATTTTCTTTCTTTCTTTCTTCTTTTGGCTGCATTGGGTCTTAGTTGTGGCATGTGGGATCTTCATTTAGGCATGTGGGATCTTTCATTGCAGCGCGCTGGCTCTTTGTTGTGGAGCGTGGGCTTCACTCTAGCTGTGGCGTGCGGGCTCTAGGGCGCGTGGGCTCTGTAGTTGCAGCACGTGGGCTCTCACTGAAGCATGCAAGCTCAGTAGTTGTGGTGCACGGGCCTAGTTGCCCAGAGACGTGGGATCTCAGTTCCCTGACCAGGGATCGAACCCGCATCCCCTGCATTGGAAGGCGGATTCTTTACCACTGGACCACCAGGGAAGTCCCAGGTCCAGCTTCATTCTCTGGTGTGTGGATTTTCAGTTTTCCCAGCACCATTTGTTTAAAATTCAATCCCCATTGAATGCTCTTGATACTGTCATCAAAAATCATTTGACTGAACATGTAAGAGTTCATTTCTGGGCTTCCTATTCTAGTCCATTGGTCTGTATGTCTGTCTTTATAACAGGACCATACTGGGGTTTTTTGTTTGCTTTTTAAAATTTTATTGAAGTATATGGTTGACTTACAGTGTTGTGTTAATTTCTGCTGCACAGCAAAGTGACTCGGTTACACATACATGTATAATTTCTCATATTCCTTTCCATTATGGTTTATCACTGGATGTTGAATATAGTTCACTGTGCTGTATGGTAGGACCTTGTTGCTTATCCATTCTATATATAATAGTTTGCAAAAAAAAAGGTTGCATTTGCTAATGCCAAACTCCCAATCCGTCCTTCCCCCACTCCCCTCCCACTTGGCAACCACAAGTGTGTTCTCTGTGTCTCTGAGTCTTTTTCTGTTTCATAAAAGTTCATTTGCGTCTTCTTTTAGATTCCACATATGTGATATCAAATGGTATTTGTCTCTCTTTCTGACCTATTTGACTTAATCTCTAGGTCCATCCTGTTGCTGCAAATGGCATTATTTCATTCTTTTTTATGGCCGAGTAATATTCCATTGGATATATGTACCGTATCTTCTTTATCCATTCCTCTATCAATGAACGCTTAGGTTGCTTCCATGTCTTGGCTATTGTGAATAGTGCTGCAATGACCGCTGGGGTGCGTGTATCTTCTCAAGTCAGTTTTCCGTAATCCCACTCCCAGGAGTGGGATCACAGGATCATATGGTAGTTCTATTTTTTGTTTTTTGAGGAATCTCCATAGTATTCCATAGTGGCTGCATCAATTCACATTCCCACCAATGGTATAGAAGGGTTCCCTTTTCTCCACACCCTCTCCAGCATTTATTGTTTCTAGATTTTTTGATGATGGCCATTCTGACTGGTGTGAGATGATATCTCATTGTAGTTTTGATTTGCATTTCTCTAATAATTAGCAACGTTGAGCATCTTTTCATGTCCCTCTTGGCCACCTATATGTCTTCTTTGGAGAAATGTCTATTTAGGTCTTCTGCCCATTTTTCGATTGGTTTGTTTGGTTTTTTGTTACTGAGTTGTAGGAGCTGTGTGTATATTTTGGAAATTAAACGGTTGCTGGTCACATCACTTGCAAATAATTTTTTCCCAATCCGTAGGTTGTCCTTCCATTTTGTTTACGGTTTCCGTTGCTGTACAAAAGCTTGTAAGTTTGGTTAGGTCCCATTTGTTTATTTTTGTTTTTATTTCTATTGCCTTGGGAGACTGACCTAAGAAAACATTGGTACGATTTACATCAGAGAATGTTTTGCCTATGTTCTTTTCTAGGAGTTTTATGGTGTCATATCTTATAAGTCTTTAAGCCATTTGGAGTTTATTTTTGTGTATGGTATCAGGGAGTGTTCTAATTTCATAGATTTACATGCAACTGTCCACCTTTCCCAGGACCATTTGTTGAAGAGACTGTCTTTCCCCCATTGTATATTCTTGCCTCCTTTGTTGAAGGTTAATTGACTGTAGGTGTGTGGGTTTATTTCTGGGCTCTTTTTTTAAAAAAATACGTGGCACGTGGGCTCCTTGTTGTGGTGCACGGGCTCTCTAGTTGTGGCGCATGGGCTCTGTAGTTGCAGCACGTGGGCTCTAGTTGTGACCCGCATGCTCAGTAGTTGCAGCGGGCGAGCTTAGTTGTCCCGCGCGGCGTGTGGTGTCTTAGTTCCCCGACCAGGGATCAAACCCACGCCCCCTGCATTGGAAGGTGGATTCTTAACCACTGGACCACCAGGGAAGTCCCCTGGGTTGTCTTTTCTGTTCCACCAATCCATATGTCTGTTTTTGTGCCAATACCATGCTGTTTTGATTACTGTAGCTTTACAGTACTGTCTGAAGTCTGGGAGGGTTTTGCCTCCAGCTTTGTTCTTTTTCCTTCAGGATATCTGTGGCAATTCTGGGTCTTTTATGAGGACCATACTCTTTTGATTACTGTGGCTTTGTAATCAAAAGTGAATTCCTCCAGTTTTGTTCTTCCTTTTTAGGATTGTTCTGGCTGTCTGAATTCCCTTGAGACTCCATATGAATTTTGTCAAATGCATTTTCTGCATCAATTGAGATGATCATGTAGTTCCCCCACCCCCTTTATTCTGTTAATGTGGTGTATTACATTGATCGATTTTCATGTATTGAACTGTTCTTGCATTCCAGGAATAACTCTCACTTGGTCGTGGTGTATAATCCTTAAATATGCTGCTGAATTCAGTTTGCTAGTACATTGTTGAGGATTTTTGCACCAGTGTTCATAAGGTATATTGGTCTGTAGTTTTATTTTCTTGTAGTGACTTTGTCTGGCTTTGATATCTGGGTTATTCTAGCCTCACAGATGAGTTAGGAAGGGTTCCCTCCTCTTTGATTTTTTGGAAAGTTTGAAAAGGACTGGTATCAATTCTTCTTTAAACGTCTGATAGAATTCACCAGTGAAGCCATGAGGTCCAGGGCTTTTCTTTGTGGAGAGACTTTTTTTTTTTTTTTTT